CGGTTTGTGCCGCAATACCGACGTTTTCGCTTCTGGGTCTAACACTGACTCCAAAGTTCTTGAAGGAGAGGTGTCTGTCTGCAGTTGCACTGCGAAGGGGCGGAAAAACAGGCGGCTGTGGAACCTGATGTCGTGTTTCACGTCGATATCGCTCAGTAAAGTATTCACTGATACGTTCCCAGAAGGGACGCGGAAAGTCAGCAGGGTCTATGGACTGTGTGCCAGTGCCTAGAAGATAGAACTGGTTGACATCAATATCCCCAACACCGACTGAGCGCTGGGGAATCACCGCAAGATCCGCTAAATGGCTTTGCTCAACATAAGGTATTACGGCTTGTACTGGGGCCGGTCGGGTAGTTGTCGTTGTCTCTTCAATAATTTCTTCGAAGTCATCATCATAGTCAGTAGCGTCGTTAGCGTTTTCAAAACCATATCGGTTCTCTTCTAAGTACGACCGAAGTTGCCTATTCTCTTCCTGTAGACGGCAAATCTCACTATCTAAGTTTTTCGGATGTCGTCGCATATTAGAGGCCATTTCTTCACTATATAAGTAGTTTTCGTTGCCGTATGAATCCTGGATCAGTTCCCGGTTTTCCAGCAGTGTTCGAAGGCGTTCGTTTTCTTGTTTCATAAGATACAATTCTTGGTCAAAGATATCGAGGTCATTGGGGTACTTTTCAAGGCCATTTTGTAAGGTCTTTTTTTCATATTCGTCAGCATTGTTCTCAACGATGACACCGTACTCATTATATTCCGAACGTAGCCTGGTACTAGTAGCATAGGTCATGAACTCGTCCTCATCTTTGACAGGAAATTTTTCCGGATCCTGGGCATGAACAGAGCCGGGTTTATAGAACGTCGGGTGAACATAGGCTACGTTCGCCGGGACTTTCTGTCTGCCGTACTCCTGCGACAGATAGCTACGCTGAACCATTTGAGATTCCCGAACAGCCATAGGTGGCGTTTCTTGGAAGACCGAGTCGTCTGGATAATCGTCAAGTTGCTGGAACTGCTGTCCATTATATAAAGCCATTCTACCGATGACCGTAGTGACCACGGTGTTCTGATGCCTGAAGAAAGAAAAAAGAGACTCTGGGTAAAAGAGGGTAGAAAAGTTGTCATTTGCTGCCGAAGGTTATAAGCCCAAATCAGAGGGAGGAGCTAAATTAAAAGATTGTCAATTTCGCGGAGAAGACTGATGAAATGTCAGGTAGAACCTATAACCAGGTGGATCTATGAACGGTTTGGTTGAAATTCCGGTAAACATTGAGCCCCGTTAGACAGAAAGCACATTTTTAGCAATTATGGCACATTTTGTGCAATTCTATAAGACACCGCTGAGGTTGCATCAGATGAACTACGTAATGCTGCCGCATACTAGATAGTTAACTTACAACCTAAGTTTGTTTAAGTGCATCGCTAACAGGTGTCACAAAAAGAAAAGAATTAATAAGTCTCCAATAGAGGTATTAGGGGATCAGTTCAGGTCAGGTTTTATTAAGGGAAATGTAGATAAATACTTTTGAACTGTCTATTGGTACAGAACAGTTATGCAATGCATTGGTTCAGCAGAGCACGATAAACAATGTTTTTTGGGTAGTGCCACAAACATTGGTAAAAATTATAGAAACACCGTGTGTTAGGGGAAATGGTTATGTAAGTCTGTTATTCGGCTTTCCTGCAAACAGAAATAGGGCAAACACCCGTGTTTGCGCCAATAATAAAAACGTAGACCGACGGACCAAAACAACTTTGTGCTGCTTGAGACTTCAGGAGTCATATATATTATCAAGAATGATGTTTCAGATGCTTCATCGTTGTCTTCGACTTACCCTGACGACCACCATCGTCTGCCTAAACCAATCTAGCGATATAAGGAGAGTCGGCAGGCCTTTCAAGCGGAGCCTTCAAAATTTTACCTCCCCTTTCAATAGTGGCTTTTAACTTGTTTCTGCCACGTCTTTACCCGGTTCGCTTTTGCCACAGTAAAAAAATGATATAGGGACTTTAACTTTGGCCGATTAAATACAAATGAAAGTATATTTGTGTTAATTCTACACTGA